CCTCTGGGAGCCTCAGCATCAGCATTTAACATTGGCAGACAAAATTCATAGCTGCATGAAACATTGCACACCAGCATCAAGCCACAGCACTCTTGAGACAAACTTGCAGTGACCAAAATTATCCAGAAGAAAGACACTCAAAACACAGGCAGGTGGCAAACCAGAATTGTCTAGAAAATACACTGCACAGGTCATCCAGTTGTAGGCAAGCTAGAAAAATGTCAATGGAAGGACACATAAAGATTCTGTCATGGATGATCCCATCACCTGAGCAGAAAATTGTATCTGTATATGTATGGAGGTTTGAGATGAAAACACTGACCAATAAGTTATTGGAATGGTTATACTCAAGCATCAAGACTTGCTAGATCCCGTACAAGTAGATATTTTGGAGGCTGTAGATGCATAATTCAGAATATATTAGCTTCATCTTGAATCTAGTTAACACCATAAAAGATGCTCTGTATCCAAAAACAACGACAAAAACAAAAACAATGAGAAGTGCTACACTACCTGGGAACAGACCAAGGTTTCTGTCAAGTGCAGCGCAGACTACTTATCCAGAACACATGTGCATGACCACCATATAAGTGCTCTTCCTACCCAAAAAGTCAGATTTATCCACAATATATCATGTTTTTTAATTTTTAATTTTTTTATAAATTTGGTCCAAATCCTTTAAATGGATGGATTTCTGGGATCAGCGCTCATGCTAAGCAGTGCTTGTGGTGTGAGCCCTGACCCCCACCATCCGATCGCGCAGTTCCAGGCAACGGCAATATTTAGTGGCGAAAGCTTTACGTGCCGCGATGCTCGGCACGGTCCGTCCTGCCCTCTGACGTCAACTGACCTTTAGCGCGACCGCTGCCACCGGCCGCAGGCCATACCTGCCAAGGGCAAATAGCGAGCGCCCTAAAGCGACTCGAACCCATCCCGCAACGGATGGGTGGGTCGGAATGCGGGCGCTCTAACCAACTGAGCCACCGGGATGGACAAATTGAGCAATCACCAAGAAATTATCAGCTACTCTTTTATATTGACTCAACGAGGCAACTGTGGACCTAAGAGTGATTGGAAATGCGCTAGATTTTTTAAATTGCGCAACCACCAAGAAATAATTAGCCACTCTTTTATATTGCCTTAACAAGGCAACTGTGGACCTTAATGTGATTGGAAATATGTTAGATTTTATGTTAGATGCATAGTTGCTAGACATTTGGGAGATAAGGCAACCTGCCTGCTTGTTGGATGCCTCTGATGCATAAAATGACCACAAGGGTTTACAGAACTTTGCTCCCATTCACAGTGCTCCAAACACAAGAAAAAAACAAATAAGAAGATAGCTGCAGATTTTTTAATATTTGCACACTATGGACACCGGACAACAGAATTTCACACTGAATAGATAGGCAGTGAAAACAGCTAGCACTTATGTTAGTCCACAACCTCCGCTCAGCCATGCCTCCCAACCAGTGCCTTGAGGGTGGATAAGTGAGGTGCAGTAACTTCTTGGAAGCCAGAGCACTGAAATACTGGAATCACTGCTGGCCTACTGGCTGGTCCTACACCAACACAGGCATGTAAACCCACTTAGCACATTGTTCTCCTGGTTGTATGCTTGATAGGGCACTCTGCCACTCACTTTAGGTGTGCCTCTATGAATCATTTTCAGTCCATTCAACAGCATTTGATCATCTGCCTGGTGTCACAATTATTTGTACTGCTTCTGGCAGGGATCATGAAACACTTAACCTGGATTCCCACCCTGAACCTGCACAATTTAGCACACTTGTCACAGACACATGCTGTGGTCCTGACATAACCAGAGATGGTGCAGCAGGGGGGGGGGGGGGGAAGAGTATGTTTTCCACCACCCAATCTTTGAAAGCCCCTTTTTTCCCAACTACAGGGTTCATAACTTCCTCTAGACTGCCAAAATTCAGATCAAGGAAGCCTCCTATAACTGAGCTACAGAGCAATAAAGTAGGCTTCACAACATCATTTTCTACCTCAAGAAGCTTGTTTTCTGGTTCATACTGCCACTTTTGTGAATACAGTATCACATGCTCTAGATCAGAAGGCACAATGCTGTGTTAAGGAGGCCCCTAACCTGGCTCAGGCTGCTCTTATAAACTAGTAAGCCCATTCTGAATTAGAGGACACCCTCTTTATTCCGGAGCCCCATTTCTGGAACTGGAGGCCTCTACATGCATCAGAATATGACTGTTCTAAGGCAGAATGCCCTGTTTTGTAATAGATGGCCTTTAGCTAGATTTAGAACCCTGTGCACTGGAAGCCAATTCTTCCCATGACTTATTCTACGGCAGCCACATACACATATGTGATCCATGGAGCCACGACCATGGAGGTGAAAACATGTAATAGGTTGTCTGAACTGATTCAGGTCAGGCTGAGTTTTTGGTAGTTTTACCATGAAACAATGCATTGCCACTACCATATCTTCCCTGCATCGGGTGGCAAACCCCACACCCGGGCTCTCTCTGGTATTGTGTGATCCCATAGAATGAGTAAGAAAGAGAAGCTCCCAAATTAATGCTATAGGCATCTTCATGAACAGGATCATGTATTTAATGCACTCAGTTGATGTCTGTTTACTGGCCAACATTTTATTTTGTGGCTATTTTAAGAGCATCTATCCAAAGTATGACAATCTGTAGAAATGATAGTTAAAACTAGGACACCCCTTTCCCATCTCATCTTATTGATATCTTTATCATCAATTGAAGCATTTTCTGATCCTCAAACTGACTGGCAGGACCTCTTTTAGGATAGCATAATGCTAAGACATACAAATCATCTTCCAGGGTTCCAAATTAAGTGTACCACATAAATAAACTTTTCATTCAAAAATTGTTGTATGCCCTTAAACCAGGCAGTTAATTTTATATTTCAACTAAAGTAACTTATGTAATTGATATGGTTTAATCATTTTCACACTTAGCACATATCATCACAGGTACTAAGACATGTTCTATTTGCCCATGGTACCCCCAAGAATTGTGGGTGGTTCTATTCAGACCATATTGGTACCTCAAATCCAGTCTGCAAAAAAACTCCATACACTATTTTAGATGCTTATGTGACATCAGTATGCTAAGCCTCTTGCTTGTGTGCATCAAACTATGGCCAGACTAAATTGCATTGAATTTTCATTTCATGTAGGCATGAAAAATGCTTAAGGAGTATTTTTGATTAGAATTACCTTTCCAACACCATGGCTTCAAGCATCAATGGCTGTATGCTGAAAGTTGCATTAACTGTACCACACTTTGATTACATTTTGGGCATAAATGCACTGAAATTTATGGAGCAATGTCTCTGCTACAATGAACATGTTTAGCACATCATGAACTTTTAGCAGCCAGGCCCAAAAGCACTGAGCATGTCATTTCTGATACACAGTGCATTAGGTTAAGGAAAACAACATCGGTAAAAACACCCATAGCTACATTCTGGAATAAATAGATGCAACTAACACAGATAACATCACAACTATTAGCTTCTATCAAATTTCGACAACCATCTCTGTGTCCCTGCACCCCGCACAATAAACCTAAGAAAAGACTAACCTGCAAATGTTCCTGGAATTTGATAGGAAGAATTTGGGCCATGGTGAGGCGCTTGGTAGGGTCTTGGTGATCTTAACCCCGCTTGCAGCCCTTGAAGTCGTAACACTGGTCACTGCCTCTTCACCAAATTAATTACTTATGAAAAACGTCACACCACTCCCACAATCCGCCAGCCGCCGGCTGCCGCTATTCCCTGTCATCAGCACAACTGCATGGAATTACGAAATTGTCCAATTCTTCGTAACAAAGTCACATGAGAAAACAAATTTCGAGGCTCAATTTTATATCTCACTGCATTATTCTGTCTTTAAAGCTGTAAATAGAGGCAAAAAGTCTATTGGAAATATACTACATTCTTTCGTACTGATAACAAATTACCAGCGCAAGATTATTCGGTTGCCAACGTTTACGCCCCCAGAATTCATCATAATGGCGTCCGAATTTGCAATTAGATATCACACCTACACCGAAGAGGTGCCAAGCTCAAAAGATATCCTTTCTCCACATATTTATTTTGATACAAATTCAAGCTTAATGTATATATCTCAACTTTGTTAGGTGAAGACAAAAATTGCCTTTATGGACAATGCAGCTAAATCAAAATGCACAAACACACTGCAAGACTCAGGAAATACATTACCAAAATTTCTAGAGCTGAAAACGACTTTGGCCGACAAATAAAGGAATAGATTCTAAGATTGAGATCAACTCCAAGCTTCTTTTGTCATATACAGACCCATTCTGAACGTGTACAAACAATACAACTAACCCTACGCACCCGAGATACTTCTGAAAAATCAGGGTGTCGCAGCATGGGTTGATTTGCTGAGATTTTTCTTCCAATTTTTTTAAGGATGATGTGGGTGAAAAATTGGGTACGCTTTCCCCGCTACCTGCATCTTGAGGCTCCGGCCTTCATAACTATGTTGATTAACAGTACGCAAGATGTTTCGTGGCTTTTGATAGTTGCATGTTTTCATGTGGTGCTCCCTGCCATTAAAACAAGTAGAATTGAGTAAAAATTTTTCGAAGTCTTAAATTGTATTCCATTCTTTCCTTAAGCTTATATCAACGAAGCTGAGCTAAATTTTGAAGAGATTTCTCTCGAAGTGAGCTGTTTCATAATTTGCTCGCGCTGTTTACTCATGGCTCCCCCAAAGGCGCATTGAACTTGGCGCATTTGTTATCTGGCGCATCCATTACTCGGCAACGAGCGATGGTTGGGAATCGGCTTGGATGATGAGCGCGGGTAGGTGGTGGGTAGAAGCGTGTGTAAGTTGTAATGGCCGAAATTGTCCGCGATATTGTGTAATAAGGGGCAGAGTTACGCAATCTGAGGATGAAAATGTGTGCCTGGTCTGGGTGGTGATGAGATCTAAGTCGTTACGCAATGTTTTAAACAAAGATGGGCTACTGCGTGATTGATCAATCATCGAGATGCAACGGCCCAGCGCAGCGTTTTTTAGTTCTTGGTAAGAGGGACATTGAGTAAGCACAATGGATGATTTCATTGTGTCTTGTGCTTACCCACCTCATCAAGTATCAGCTGAGTTTTTTGTGTATGTGATTATGCATGCCATGGTGGTGTGACCTGAGGTCTTTCATTTTGTATGTGTCAGGCTGCACCTTGATTCTCATGTTTGTTCCCCTGTCAGCAATGTTAGCATTACAGCTTTAAGTGGTTGTTGATCTGCAGGCATAAGAGGATGGTCTTATTCTCTCAATTCATAGGCTGAAGCAAGCTTGGAAAAAAATCCATCCACTGGATCGGATGTCCACATAACATTAGTGTGCTAAACCTGGTGCACTTGTCTGGCAGCCTGAATTCAGGGGATTTTTTCAAGCTTGTGGTTTCTTTTAAAAGCTTTTAGGAGCTTTTCATTTGTGGGAAGCAGCTTTTGGTATGGTGCAATTCCTCCAAACATTGGCCTCTAAGCTCTAATATTGGTGGCAACTATGTCCAAAATTATGAGTGCTCATCCTTTAAGCATGCATTCATATGATATCAGTACCAAGCATCATCATTAGCCAAGATTCTGGGCATGTCCAGTAAGATGTCTGTTTAGCAGTCTGGTTAAATCTTGTGATGCATTCATTTAGAAACTTAGGTAGGACAGATAGGCCTTATTTCTGAATATCTTTATGCTGAACTTTGTGTTCATTTAGGCTCTGAAGAAGTGAAAGGCTGAAGCACTTGAAAGCATGCTAAATTATAAACCAAAAGGCTATGATCAGTTGCAGGATGAATAATTTTCAGCCAGGTTGTGGATGCACTGCTTCTAGTCAAGCATAGTTACTAATTGTGATGATGATAAGATGAAATTCAGATTTAGTGTAATGGTTAATTGCTATGTAAATTTCCAACCATGATGTTAGGCATAAATGCATCCTAGGTACCAGCTTTCAATACTTGGCAACTTGTTATAAGATAGCATGATAGATAGATGTAATCTTGATTTTTCTTAAAGCAGCAGTTTTTTGACAAGGCTGTTATGATTAAATATGCCTGGCTTTTCATTCTTTGCATTCTGACAGGTTAGGGCATAATCTTGCTAGTATAGAGTTGCTGTCTTGAGCTGTCATTGACTAATGATATTCCAGCCATCTTGGCTTATTTGCTTCTGTCATGCATACTATCCTTAGCCATGTTTGAGAGTATCTATTATAGTATGTGGTTCAGTATGAGAGTATCTATTATAGTATTATCTATTATAGTATGTGGCACCACATACATATATAGTATAGTATGTGGTGCACTCCTATGAAGCTTGTTTATGTTGAATATGGCAATCTAAAAAAATATATCATTCATATGGTTGTGTTTTAGTTGAGGCACCAGTTAATTGTATATCACATGGCAAAATGTTTAAACCAGGTCTAAGTATGACATGCATCCAGATTGTAAAAAGGTGCTTAATTGTAAAACTACATAGAAAAATATCTTATTTCTTGCAATTGCTTATATTGATGGTGTGCATTGTTTTGAAATATGTTGTACTGGAATATGCTGGGCCTAATATCATAATTATTATCCTACAACTTGGCTATGCAGTCAGTGCCTAGAGACTGCAGCAGATTTGTTTTGCTTGTACATTCACCTGCCACTGTTGTATTTCAGGTGCTTTCTAAAGACAACTTTGTTATGAATGGATTAAGCGACCATCAGCGGATTAATGCATCTCATCATCAGCAAATCCACAGTGCAAAAGAAAAGCAGGCACCAAAGTGTAAGGCATTCAAGCTTCTTTCTGACCCATGCATCATCCAAGGAGCAGGGAAGGTGTACAGGTAAGAACATTTTCCTTTGCATTTCTTGAGCACTGCATTTATTTCTCTTTTGCAGATCATGACCTGCTAATGAAGTTCTTTGTTTCAATGAATGCTTTCAGTTACAAGCAATGACATCTTTCAGCAGTTCCTTCTAATTGTAGGATAATATGGTGTATTGCAGTCAGGGATCAGGAGATGTTATGGAGTGAAGGACAAGTGTTTCCACATACATATATAAATGCACATGCTTACATTTGTTTGAGGCAGTGTGCAAACCTGTTGGAACTGCTCAAATAGAACATTCCACTTTGTGACATATTGGGGCAAGCATTAAATATGATGGAATGGCTTATTTTGACTTATTCTTTTTTTTCTTATTATTGTTGCTATCATTATCATGGTTATAAAAGAGCTTGTTAATGGATGTGTGGAAAAAACAGGCATGAAGAACATTATGTGACTGTATTTTGACTCTTGTGGTGTCCTTGATATTTTTTTTTTTTTGCTGCTATCTCATGTGTTTTTCTTTCAGTTTCATTCCTGGTAATGGTGGTTTTCTTAAGTTATTTGGTTTCTGGACTCAAGTCTTCCATAGCTACTAGAACCGCACAAATACCTGTATTATGTAGTACAAATGTGGTTCATGATCAAGACATGGTTTGAATGTGCTGAGTTTATTCAGAGCCAACTGCTGTCTGTTGATGGGACAGTTAGTGTAGATGCGCTTAAGCATGAATAGGTTGATGGTCATATTTGTCTTGACCTTGAGCACAATGTGACCACCAAGGAGGGCAAATCATGTGATGTATCTATGATATTATAATCACTGGTTGATTTCAAAGTAGGTGATGTAAAATATTCTGCATAGATTTGTGTGTTTCTAGCTCAGAAACATTATTATTTGAAGGCTTACATAGGGCATAGTTGTAAACTGCAAAGAATGGCCTTGAAAATTGTATTTCATTGTAAGACCTGGTGCAGATGTGGAACAGCCTGTTTAAAATACCTTTTAGTTAAAACATGTACTATAATACATAGCATTGCCATAGAGATAGGCTGTGCATTTGTTAAAGCTATAGCTAGTTTATTAGCCAATTCAACACTGCAAGCATGTTTACACAGCAGCCCATCATAGAATAGGCTATTGCGGAGCCACAGGGGTTTTGGATTTACACCAGCCTTTAAAGTACTCAGCTGAGGTATGATTACTTGAAATGAGGGAGCCACTCACGATGGACAGGAGACCGCCGCGCCTAGTGAGGCGGCGCGCGGGCCAAGCCGCCGGTCTTATCCCAACAGCAAGAAATGCTGCAGAGCATTTTCTTAACTGAGAAGGAATGTTATTTTGACAAGTCCATATGGTTTGTAAGACACTGGCACCAGCGGCAGGGTGGCTGGCGCCCGGAACGGTCACAGCAGGACGTAGCCGCCCCGGCAGCGGGTCCCGGCCGTGCCGCCGCCTCCAGCAGGGTTCGGCGCATTCCCCGCATGTCCGCCTAGATTGGGACATGCGATTGCCTTCCTGATGATGGCTTGGTTACTTTATTTACATGTGGGAAGAGGAAAAACACAGTTATATCAGCAGTAGCCTAGTTTGTTGTATCTCTGGTCAAGTTGTCTCCTGCTCTCAGTGTCTTTGTTGTATTATCAAAATATTGTGTGTCGCATATAGGCTATTCAAATGTCATTAGAAAACGCTGGCAACTGTAGCGATAACTAAGCCCAGTCTACATATTCGACGCTGCTCGAAACACTCCCATTTCATAAATATTTTGTTTGGGTCCGTCATGCATTGCATGACATGGTTTTTTGCCATGCGATCCAGCAGCATAGTGATACGACGGTGGGCATTAAAAATCGAGGGCACTGTGGATGGGAGCAAAGCTATCAGGACATTGCAAGTCATGGGTACAAACAATTAATGCATTAGTTAATCCGATTTTTAATGTTTAATAATAACTTTTAAACAATATGTTTTCAGTTGGTAATAATAATTTTGATTTGTAATAATATTTCTATTTTGATGATGCATATTTAACAATAAATTGTTATTAATAGATATGTAATCCGAGCCTTTGAGTGGATGGATCTCCGCGAGCAGAGCTGGCGCTAAGCAGAGCCTATGTGAACCCTGACCTGTGCCATCCGATCGTGCAATTCCAGGCAATGGCAGAATTTGGGGGGCCAAAGTTTAACGTGCTGTAATGCTCGGCACAGTTCATCCTGTCCTCTGATGTCACCAGGCCTTTAGCGCGGCCACTGACCTGACTGACCGCAGATCATACCTGTCAAGGACATCGTTATGGTCATAGAGCAAAGAAGCGGTAAATGCAATCGTCGCCGTTAAGTTGAGGCGGGCAGGTGTCGGTGTGAGCGGCGTACCGTCTTCCCAGGTACGATGGCAGGGTACCCAACGACGCCACGTACCCGACGGTACAGGTGCGCGACCCACGGCCGCCGCTCACGCGCATCTGGTCCCGCATGGAGGTGGTCGAGCTCTCCGTGCCCAAGTTCAAGGTAGGCGTGTGGTGTCGCCCGGGGGTGGTTGCCGCCGCCACGGCCTGCTGCCCTTTGGCGCTCCCAACGTCGGCGGCCCCGATATGTGCCTCATCGTAGTCACGTTGTCTCCAGCCACGCATCGTGTTACTTCTTCGGACTGTAGCCTCGCCTGGTGACGTGTCGTTATTGTGGCATTACGCAGTATCGCTGTGGTGGCGAAACTCGCGGCTAGTGGGCCGATGAGCGGCGCCGTTCCGAGCGCTGGCGGGACGGGCGGCGCTGGACGCGGGACGGGCGGCACTGGGCACGGGACGGGCGGTGCTGGACGCGGGGCGGGCGGCACTGGGTACGGGACGGGCGGTGCTGGACGCGGGACGGGCGGCACTGGGCACGGGACGGGCGGCGCTGGACGCGGGACAGACGGCACTGGGCACGGGACGGGCGGCGCTGGGCGCGGGACGGGCGGCGTTGGGCGCGGGACGGGCGGCACTGGGCGCGAGACGGGCGGCGCTGGGCGCGGGGCGTCCGCTGCACAGGCTTGCTCACGGCTCCACCGCCGGCAGATCGACGCCAACTACGTGGGTGCGCCACCACCGCTGGAGGTATCGGTCACCAACATCAACGACAACATCGATAAGACGTTCCTAGCGGAAATGGTAAGCGTACCGTACCTCCGACTCCTCGGGCACACCCCGCGGCGACGCGATGGAGGGCCGGATGTGGGCCCGATGGTGCATTCACGACTGGGTTTCCGCTGTTTTTGACATGCACAAGATGCCGTGCATTGAGGTGGACATGCACGCATGTTGGTACAAATGGGTTGCCGTTTACCCTCTGTATCTAAACCACGTCTCCAACGAGGTCCGTCTTATGACAACCTCCTTGGGCTATTGCTGATGTGGTCATACCGTATGTTCTAGGTGCATAAATGCGGCGAAATTGAAGAGCTGGCGATCTTCTATCATCCAAGGACCAACAAGCACCTAGGCATTGCGCAGCTCGTATTTCGCCACGTGCAGGGGGCGAGAGCTTGCGTGGAGAAATTCAATCACACGTCCGTCATGGGCAACGTGTTGAGTGTGTTCCTTGATCCGTTCGGTAAGTCAGCGTCCACAATGGGCCACAAGCGTGCCCAGGACTTACGGACGACTGCTGGCACAATTTTTTACGGATTTTGATCGCTGCCCTTAAAAGCGGTATCTTGTGACTGGGCACCAGCAAGCAGGAAATTGAAATCATTCGTAACAGTTTTTTAT